AGGGTAACAACAAGTACCGTCTTATGATCTTTTGGTATGACACGTTCGGGGATCAAACCCCTGACCTTCCGCTCTCCAAGATGCTGGAGCAAACTTTTGTGTGAATGGTCACAACAATGTAGCTCTAAAACGTGCTCTGAGAATTCCGATTGGACTTTAAACCCGTTAGTCGTCCGCTGCGAAAAGAATGGTCGCCTTTAACGACAAGCATGGGATGCTGAAGACCTTCAGACTCGAACTCTGACTTTCGGTGAGACGAGCTATACTTAAAAACTAGGATTCCCTGTTGGGTTCTTTCAAATTTGTTATTGTAAGTATGAATGATAATTGTCATGGAAGCTATTTGTACAAGACGTGTTCGGTTACAATCAGGTCAAACAACAGCCCGTCAGTTTACTGTCTCTTGTCCGAAGATTACAGTGCATGAATGCCATAGTAACGACGACATTATTTACTTTGTGTCTCAGATCTTCACGTGATCATTAATTGTCCTACACACGAACTTGTGTCGAGGAATGCGGCCAGTGGGGTAATTGACAATACACCTGCTCTCGAACACTGACCTGCCGTGGACATGTCGGTCAACACGTGACCAGGGTGCAGGGTTTCGAGACATCACGTGTATACTCGTCAGTTTTCAACGAGTTCGGAGTCGAATACAAAATTCATATAAATTGTAAACAACGTCAAGTCTAAATGTCCTAAGATATAAGGTATCACTTGAAATGTTTGATTGTTGTTTAACGCCGATTTCAGCAATATTCCAGGTATTTGACAGCGTCTGTAAATAATCGAGTCTGGACCAGACAACCCAGTGAAACAGGAGTATACACACGCGGTAACTTCCCCCTGCATCTAGTCTGCAGATTCTTAATGTAATATTCCATGTTTTAGGCATGTTGATTGTACCTGCACGTGGTTCTTCATTGAAGATACCGTGTCATGTTCATTCATGTTTTCATGGAATGTTTTGTCGAAAGTAACTCTGACCTGCTGCCGACATATCGGTCAACACGTGACCAGGGTGCTGGGGTTCGAGAAATCACGTGTATACTCGTCAGCAGGCGAGACTACGTAAACACGTATAACGGTACATATTGACCTATAGTCAGAATGCTATCATTCGGTCAGCAGGAATTATTCGTCAATAAATGAATCGGCAAATATGTTTGTATGTAAACGTCGCACCCGGTATACTCCGACGATGGACCACCTTATCGAATAATCTAGTTCATTATATCGAATAAAATAATTCATTATATCGAATAAATAATTCGTGATCCATGCCTGCCGTAAGAAGCGACTATGCTTGTCATAAGAGGCGACTAACAGGATCGGGTGGTCAGGCTCGGTGACTTGGTTGATGCATGTCATCGTATCCCAGTTGCGTTGATCGATGCTCATGATGTCTATCACTGGATTATCTGGTCACTGATTATCTATCACTCGATTATTTACAGACCGCCGTCAAAGAGCTTGAATATTGCTGAGTGCGCCGTTAAAACAACAAACAAACAAAATTTAGCATAAATAGCATATTTATTTAAAAAAAGGCCCAAAAGCGATTTATTTCTTTTGGCGTCTTAGTTATGTGGAAACAAACCGGGCCCGGAACTCATTCATTCGAACCAGTATTAGTCTTTTAGATTATTATCTGTTTAATACTAGAATTATACCTTTATTTTGAAATACCATTCCTTGTCGTCACTAATAGTGTTCAGTGTTTAATTCTCCACATGTGTTTACCCTTGCTAATTTTAGTAAGTGTCTTATTTCTTATTATCCCCTCCACTCCACTCCACTCCGCTCCGCTCCGCTCCATTCCCCTCCGCTCCACTCCACTACTCCACTCCACTCCACTCCACTCCACTCCGCTCCACTCCACTCTCACTCCGCTCCACTCCACTCCACTCCACTCCACTCCGCTCCGCTCCACTCTCACTCCGCTCCACTCCACTCCACTCCACTCCACACCACTCCACTCCACTCCACTCCACTCCACTACTCCACTCCACTCCACACCACTCCACACCACTCCACTCCACTCCACTCCACTCCACTACTCCACTCCACTCCACACCACTCCACTCCACTCCACTCCACTCCACACCGCTCCACTCCACTCCACTCCACTCCACTACTCCACTACTCCACTCCACTACTCCACTCCACTACTCCACTCCACTCCACTCCACTACTCCGCTCCACTCCACTCCACTACTCCACTCCACTCCACTCCACTCCACTCCACTACTCCGCTCCACTCCACACCACTCCACTCCACTCCACTGCTCCGCTCCACTCCACACCACTCCACTCCACTCCACTCCACTCCACTCCACTACTCCGCTCCACTCCACTCAACTCCACTCCACTCCACTCCACTACTCCACTCCACTCCACTCCACTCCACTCCACTCCACTCCACGCCACGCCGCTCCACTCCACTCCACTCCACTCCACTCCACTCATCTTACACCGGCTTTATAGTACTTGCCCACTGAGATACCATGCCGCAGTTTGACAAGGATAACTCCCCTGAGACACAGTATACGTTTATTTGAAAAGAACAGGTTCTTGCGCCAGTTCAGTTTCATGCCTTGCTTTATCCCCTTAACGCAAGGCAGTGTAACAACAAGTACAATCCTTTAACGTCTCTGTATGCCAAGGGATCAGACGCTCTATCCACTAGATCACAGAGGCTGTCTATCATCAATAGAAGAAACATACATACTCAGTTTTGTTTGTTTGTTTGTTTGTTGTTTAACGAAGCACTCAGCAATACTGCTGATTTATGACGACGGTCTGTAAATAATCGAGTCTGGACCAGAACATCCAGTGATTGACATCATGAGCATCGATCATCATTGGGATACGATGACATGCATCAACCAAGTCAGCGAGCCTGACCACCTGGTCCCGTTAGTTGCCTCTTACGACAAGCATGGTCGCCTCTTACGACAAGCATGGGTTGCTGAAGACTCATTATTTCTACCTGGATCAGAAGAAATATTATGACGAAACCTTATGAAGAGGGAGGTAGAAGAGGGCCTGATATTAAAATAAAAATGCAATCAACGCTCAAAAGATATCTTGGAATAAACGTTTGTTCCATTCACATCCACACTCTAAACTAACCACTCTTTTGATTAATAATATAACTCCAACACAAATTGATTTTCTGCAAAAATGCCAATTCTTTGTTTCGGAAAAGGTTATTAATGATAGGACCAATGCTTTCTGGAAAGATGTTCTGGGTACATGGGGGAAATTTAATAGAAAAAAAGGGAAATTCTATCAAAGAGGAAAGAGATATATTATCACAACCTTTATGGCAAACTACGAATATAAGAATCGGGAACACTCCGGTATATCATAAACACTACTCGGAAAAGGTATTAATCTTGTAAATGATTTGATAGACGAGAGCTGAAGTTTTCTTGATCTTTTAGACCTAAAACATGTATACGACTGTAAAACACATTTTCTGGAATATTCTAGTCTTATCCAAGCAATAAAACAATATCTAAAGCGTAAGAGTATGTCCCTTACATCTAAGTTACATCTGCCCTTAATACCATGTGTGGAGGGGGGGGGGGGGGGGGGGGGGGGGGGGGCTGTATAAAATAAAGTATCCAACAATATGATATCCCGAAAATACATTCAAAGATGGAAACTTGATCTTGGCCTTAACATGACGGTAAAGGATTGGCAAACGATTTAGCACCCACACATATAATGTGTCCTCAAAACAAAAATGGTACCAATACAGTATTATTCTTAGAATTGAATTATACCAACAAACGAGTTACTGTACAAAATGGGATATAATGAATCATTTCTTTGAAAGTTTTGTAAACCTGAAAAACAAACCTTAGTGCACATGTTCTTTGAGTGCAAAATTGTAAAACATATCTGGAACAACCTTACAAAATGGATCAAAGACAAAACTGGAATAGAACCAGAATTTTCAAAATTGACAATCTTATTAGGATATCAACAAAAACGAAATTTAGAGATAACCGATACATATTACATCGTCAGAAATATATCATATTCACAATGTAAATACACAGAGTTCATGACACTTTGTACACTCTGTCACAGCCTATTCGTGTTAACCCACGAACTTGCACAATCCAACAATATGACATTGAAATAGTTTTTGTTTTTTATCATCTATAGATATACTTTGAAACGTGTATGTATTTAAGATTACATGTGAACTATACTGAACAACAAAAGTTCCTGTGACATTGAATGAAATTTAATGCAAATCTGAAACAATTTCGGTTTGCAACAGATAAAAGACACCTGTAAGTGTTCAAATGGTTTAATTTGCCATACTGACTTCTGAAAATGCGTGATTTCATAAAAAACATGAACATGCCAAAATGTCAATTTACAAATCAATAGCGTGAGTCCACCTCTGGTTGCGATGCAAGCAACACATCTTCGTCTCATGGAATGGACCAGGCGTCGCACAAAGTCCTGTGGGATATCTGTCCATATCTGTTGGAGCATGTTTCGAAGTTCCTGGAGTGTCTGTGGAACACGTGGTTGACGTCGAAGGCGCCGATCCATCTCATCCCACATGTGCTCGATTGGTGAGAGATCAGGGGAGCGAGCCGCGCCAGGGGATGACATTCATGTTGTTTTGCTGAAGAGAATCCCGAACAAGTCGAGCAATATGAGGCCGGGCGTTGTCATGTTGAATGGTAATGCCTGGGCCATGACGACGCAAAAACGGTAGAATAACAGGGCCGATGATCTCGTCGCGGTAGCGCTGTCCATTGAGATTTCCCTCTACCACTATCAAACGGGTCCTCTGTCTTGCTGTAATCTCACCCCATACCATAACGCTGCCGCCCCAGAACCGATCTTCTTCCATGACACAATGATTGACGTAACGTTTCACCTCGACGTCGGTACACTCGAGTCCGTCCATCGCTGTGGCTGAGGTGAAATCGAGACTCGTCCGTGAATAGAACTTGTCCCCACTTCATGGCCGTCCAGCGTAGACGCTGTCTGCACCACTGTATACGTGCTTGACGGTGGTTACCTGTCAAAATGGGACGTCTGGCGGGTCTTCTGGTCAATTCACACTTCAAAATAAATATTGCCTCATGATCAAATATTTACTCCCAGTTTACTCTGTAGATGTAAAAGTCGGTCCTTTATCTTTGGTATAAGACTATTGCTGAATTTTATAAAGGTAAAATCCTCACTCCATGGATGAAACATTTTGGGGTCTTTACTCGCCCGGTAGTGATGCATTAGAGCGACTTTTGGACTAACAACATACATCTCCCAACCAGGGAGGAACTTTTCCATTCCGTGAACATGAATCAGGTTCACGACCTCGGGTTTCACGAGAATTTTTGATCTGTCGCCAGGCTTATTGATGCAAGACCTGTAGGTATGCAGAAATGCATGCATTTTAAATTTCTTCGCATCCTTCTTTTCAGGGAACTCGACTTTTGTCTCACTTTCATAGATTGGGAAGAATGCATTTTTGAACATGAGGGCCCCATACACATTTTGAGAATCAGGGTTTTTTGCATTCAGTAGTCTGTCAGCCAGAGCTACTAACGAGACATGTTTCTTGGGCACAACAATTTCATCAACATCTGCAAGGAGGACGTACTTGGCTACCCCAAGCTGAGAGAAGACACAGTCATGGATACTCGCCATCTGACCCCAGTAGTGGATCTGGTCTGGGGGGAAGGGAAGCTTCCAGTTCCTCATCTCCACAATGCCTTCCCTCTCATAGTGCAGCAGCACTTTGTTGACATCTTCTGGTATGCTGTAGTTGTAGATGAGGAACTTGTCTGTCCCGAAGTATCTGCTGGTCTCCAGGGCTGTGACAAGTGTGTTGACGTCAGTGAAGTTTCCATGCAGGGCAGGGTAACAGTGCGTCAGTCGGTTGTAGGGGGGTCCGGGATAGTTGACAGGGAGGATGTTGAGGGGGGAGGACATCCGGGCAGTGAGAACAGAGATGAACGCCGGGTAGGAGCCTTGAGGTACTGGGCAGTGAACAAATCCACATCGATTACTGAAATGAGAAATCAAAGAAGACGGCATAGGATTTATTTTATTTTATTTTGTTTGTTGTCTCACGCCTCACTCCGCAATGTTACAACACTATGACAGCGGTCTGTAAAAGTCGAAGTAGTAATAAAAGTAAAAGTATATAACAACTGTATAACTCAGTCCCCTATTGAAACATATAATATACTGAACAGCATTGAAAGCGCACCACCATGAAAATGGATGTATTTTTATCAGGGCTTAAGTCATATGAAAATATATAAGTGAATGAGTAATATACGACGTTCTGGACGACGCATGAAGAAGAACAGCTCGTCAAAACACATTCCTAATTTTTTTGTGAGCGAAATCGCCAAAACGCAACAAATTGCGTGCACATCATGGAAAACGTGTTTTGTTTCACGGGAAGCATGCAGAATAGGGCTATAAAAGACAGACTTTTAAAAGCCACATCACTTGTTGCTGCAGACGTAAAGGGTACCGACACAAGAAATGGCAAGATTAACAGCAGAGGAACGTGAACGTGCCTTGGGCATGCTTCAAGTTGGTACGTCAAGTAGAGTTGTTGCACAACGGTTTCAATGCCATCATTCAACAGTCCTCAGGCTACTGAGCAGATACCAGCAGACAAGAACCACCAGCGATCAACCACGTCCGGGTCAACGTCGTGTAACTACACTACGTCAGGATCGCCATATTGTTCGTCGGCATCTTCGTGATCGTACACTTCCGGCTACCAGGACTGCAGCAACCGTACAAGGCCGACGGAATTGATCAGTGCTGACACCGTACGTCGACGTCTCCGCTCAGCAGGGCTACGTGCTCGACGTCCATATGTTGGACCCATACTCACTGATCGACATCGAAATGAACGTCTGCGTTGGGCCAAAAGGCATCGTCATTGGAGATTGCGGCAGTGGCATGGTGTGCTGTTCTCTGGTGAGTCCCGTTTTCATTTACGGAATGCTGACGGTCGACTGCGAGTGTGGCGTCGACGTGGAGAACGTTACCACAATGACTGCGTTGTACAGACAGATCGATGGGGGGAGGGAGTGTCATGGTATGGGGCGGCATCAGTCATAACCATCGAACAGAGCTCCATGTTTGTCGTGGAATAGTTAATGCCCTTTACTACAGGAATAACATATTGGCAAATCAGCACCAGGATATGCACACCTTCCAGCAAGATAATGCAAGAGCGCACACAGCACGTGTTTCAACACAGTACCCAGCGAACAATAATGTGCCTCTGCTTCCATGGCCAGCCCTGTCACCCGATCTATCGCCAATTGAACATCTATTGGATTACCTGGGTCAACGCCTCTCACGTCGTCCGCAAGTACAGAACCTGAGAGAACTTGAAGATACACTACGTCAAGAGTGGAATGCCCCAGAACACTATTCACAGACTTATTCGATCAATGAGAAGACGTTGCATGGCCTGTGTTGCTGCCAATGGCGGACATACCAGATATTGACTTTTCATTTTAACCCTATGTGACTTCCTTACACTGATGACGTAATTGTAATTACTGTGTGGTATTCCTGTTTCCTTTGTCGTCTTTCTTAATAATCCGTCTATGTCTGTTCTAATCAAAATCGGTCATTGCTTCAGTTGTTTGTTGTAATATTTCAAGATTTATTGCTGGTGCGTTTTCAATGTTGTTCAGTATATATAAAATGGTATATGTTTCACAAATAATATTCAATCCAATGTTTCATTACCTACGTTATCAGCCAAGTAGTATATTCGTACACTATAGCTACATACGTGTCTGTGTATTCGTGCAGCTTTCTAATAACTTGTATCACTTATGAAACTATAAATAGATTTATACTCACTTGTAGGTACCCCATCTACTTGGAGGGATGTGTTGGAAATGACCTTGAACCCAATAACCTATGTGTGACCTTGTTCTCTTCAGTACGCAAACGAAGGAAACAGGATGGAATGGTTCCGGGACAAGGATAAGAGTTCGCACTGACGAGTGAGTATTTTCGTATATTGCAGAATATATAAAGATTCGGACGTCCACTTGCTGAAACTCGCTTTGGTAAGGCCTCCTAGGTGGAAACCTGTTTTCAAGTCCGCCCTCTCCTAAAACGGCATAAAAACGTCTCTTATTGAGGAATGGTTGACCTGAACTGTTATCAGTTTGCTGGAGCATCTGAGGAAGTCGTTCATTACGTCGTGTGATCGGCGTGGGTATGCTTCTGTTCAAAAGAAACGCTTCTTGTTTTGAATGTTTACCTGCACCTGACTGGATCACTGAACTGATTGCACCCTTGTGCACATACGCGATGATATTCTCAGTAGTGTTCTCGTGGTCTCTGGAAGTCAGTGCAAGAAGCATCCTTACCCTCGGGATAAATTCGGAATAATTATAATAAATCAGTAGGCTGACAAGACAAGTGCATAGTGTGAACACCGCCATTACTTTAACCTGGTTCATTCTCCTCATCTTCTCTAATTTTCCCCTGTATATAACAAAAGGAAACAAGAATATATTTCAGAGAGCAAACATACTACGATGAGAATGAAGAATCCATAGCTTTCAATTTTTTCACGATAATCTGTTGTGGACCAACTTGAGAGTTCACTGATCATTTGCCCTGTGTCAATATACCAAGGTAACAGCTATGATTTGAAACGACAAAAATGTAAGAGAAGGCAAATTATTCAAGTTAAATTCGGCAATATTAATTTTTTCCGCTTTTATAAGTTTATTTTTACTCAGATCGTGAAATCACTAGTGAATCGTTATTTTCTAAATTAATATGTTTGGAACGCATTTACTTACCAAATGTCTAAACAGATTTGAATAACTGTATTGTATAGGAATTCCTTGTCGGGCACGTAGGGGAGGCCTTGACGAATGTGATTGTCGTTGGACAGCAAGGTTGTCCAATGTTACGGTGTACTATTCCAGCCATATGACTTTGGCCTGTGAATAAACGATTATGGATCAGACAAATTTGGGATTAATAGCATAATAATGATCATTCCTTTGTCCTGAGAGACATATATTATTCGTAGGGAACCAACGCCCGACTCGGACAATTGACTTGTGACTGTTGTGGCAAAGACACAGTGGTTTGACTGAGTATGGTTTTACGCCGCTTTTAGCAATATTCCAGCAATATCACGGCGGGGGACACCAGAAATGGCTGACATAATCTTTCCATATTTCTTCCCAGGTAATAACATTCATATATTCGACGAGTTTAAAGAAACTATTTCACTGATATCCGATGTCCGATTGACAGTAATGAGAGAACGATGTTACCAAGGATACGTTAGAATCACATGGAGGTAATTTGAACAGCGTCATGACGTCAGCCCATTATGACGTAACAAAAAAATGTTTACTCGCAGGATAAAGAACAGTCGGTGCCTTGATCTTTTAGCGAAGCATCTTTGAAAGTATGATAATGATCAACGACCCAAGCCGTTTAGTTTACACGCCTTTAACGAAACCACCGACTCTCATCGAATAAGTTGAGACTCCATTGTAAACTTGTAAACAATTACTGTCCCAGCATATGCTCTGCGACATATATGCCTCGAGGTCACAGAAGTGCACAAGCCAATTCAGATCTTGTACAGCCCCTATACACATCGAGTCGGGAAGATTTAATTATACGCCAGTGAATGAAAGGTTCTGTTTTGATTGTCAAACTTTTATTGCAGATGAAATACATGTTTTATTAAATCGTACTGTTTATAATGATGAGCGTTAACCTCTTTTAGCACAATGTTGTGATAAGTATCCTGGCTTAATGCTCTTAGCGAAGTTGAACAAGTGTCTTTTGATTAATCAAATAATGTTATATGTAATTTTAGTACCAAAACCCGCAATGCAATTTTACAAAAACGTAAATCGGTTATTAATAAGGGTGATATACTTTTACTATTTTCATACATGTTTGCTGTGCATAATTTTAAACGTTTTAACCCTCATAACTCTGTATTGAGTGGCCTAAGTAATAAATTGTTTTAAATATGTTTGTAAATGTTATTCTTTATTACGCAACGTCACAAAGTATTTCCTACTTTCACAGTACTGTATCTGGTTAGTTCCGCTGATGAATGGCCAGGTCACACAGGTTAGAAGACTCCCTGTGACATAAAGTATCACAATGAATACAAGTATCCAAAATAGTGATACATTACGGACCGACCATTTGATATTCGGTGGCAAGGGATGGGGGTGGATTTTATCTAAAAAAATAAATTGACCCAATATATTCTTGAAAAAAATAATTGTTGAGATTGCATGTTGAAAAATACCCTAATATGGCAAGCATATGTTGCTGAAGACTTATTCTACGCCGGATCTTCACGGGTATGGCTATTTAAAGTCAGTCAGAGGCATATGATTGTGTGTTTATTATACAGGTTTCTGATTTTAAGTTGTGCAATTATACATATCTTTTCGGTACTGCACTATTTTCGTTTGCCCACCAACATGGAGGACACCGAAGAGGACCCACCGATGTGACGATTGATTTCGGCGATTTTGCTGTTGGAAATTTCACATCTGTTTTCCAGGATGGATTTAGTGATGATGAGCTCAATAATTAATTGCGCAAATCACAGAATCAGGTGATTATGTAAACAAACGTGCTCCACAAGCAGTGACAAAATATTCTGTCGAACTTGGCTAAAAGATCGTCTGCTTTCCCAAAGATTCAGCAAGAAATAAATCATTACGTTAATTCCATATCATTGCAAAATAGATGAAGCTATTGATTGTAAGATGAATTACATATTTAATTGAATTTATTGAGGATATGGTCAACAAATAGATCTAAAGTAAAAACGGCAAGCCGCTTTGCAGCAATTAACGAGGGAAGCCCAGGTTCTATTTCCTGGAAAGGAGGCCAACACACACACACACACACACACACACACACATACACACACACACACACACACACACACACACACATACACACACTACACATTGGGGTGTCAAGATCTTTAAACGTTAGGAAATATATTACAAGTTTATGATGTTTCTGTGTACCTACTTGTATCAACAAAGTCGATATAGATAGGAAAATCTATGACTATTCATAGAATAGAAAAAGTCAATAAAATTCAATGATTGTATGTAACTCCAATTGAATAGATCTGTATATGTATTTATCTGGAAACTTAACAATGTGTTTGTCGGCATGTTGACAAAAGTAAAACAACTTGGCCTTGACATCGATATCGCATCCCATCATGAGGCCATTTCTCGTGGGGATATGTCCATAAATTGGGGAATGTCAGTCTCTAGATACACCAGCCAATCCTCAACGTAAAAAATGGTTTGCCATCACATTAGCGTTTGGTCACAGAGGTTGCGAAAATCAAAGATAATTATTTCTGAATCCGTTTATGGTTGAACCTGACGATGTCAGGGTAGTGAAGCCACAAGGTCACAACACACTTTCAAAATCTACAGAATCGCAGTTGAGCACAATTTACACCAATCACCCTGTGGGAGCCACCACGGTGACCCTTCTGTCGCATGCGCGTGAAAAAAATAACGTGGGCACAAAAATCTAAATTCGTACAACACCGACTCTTCGTCAGGTCAATAGCGCCTCCACTCTCACTGGTTTCTTAAATAACTACTAATTGTACTGACTGTGTGGCTGACAATTACAAATAAATCCACTCTGCCCTCACGCAGATCACAAATTAATCCTATTAGCGCCAATATTCAACCAAGTGTTAGCCAAACAACTGTATTACAGCTATAAAAAGGGAGATAGGTAAAAAGGTATCTTCCCAAAACGTAGACCTTCCAAAACGCAGACCCGTTAAAACAACACTCGTTATGGCTGGTTGCATCAGTAATTAGTACCCTGTACCCTTGATGAGGTAAAATGGTATCACCCATGTAACAAGAAAGAAAGCTGGGTAGATTTCACAATTTTTTATTCAAATGTTATTTCATTGTCATTTATGAACCTTTTCCACAAATCAAACAGCTGGATTTGGCCGAAATATGTCCGAAGTGTTACCTTGTTCCGTTTTGTGTGTACATCGGACTGCACTTCGTAACATTATGACAGGACAGACCGACTGTCAACGTCTCTTAGACCAGGCTTAGAGTAGCTTCCCTTTGATAATGCAGGCGTGACACTGTCCTGCAGGCGTGACACTGCCCCGAACTTGACACCAGATGGCCATACGAATATGGAATTTTGAATTTAGCGCGAAGATGGCCCCGAACTTGGTCAACGGCCAATCAACAGGCGAAGCAAGTACGATGCCTACAGAAGGTCACACGATGGCACCCGAACCACACACGAAGGCAACACGAAGATGTGAATTTTTATAGTAGTTTATACCCGCAGGACACATGAAGGCCACACGATGGCTACACGACGTCGTGTTGAGAGTACGATGCGTTCGAACTAGGTCATAATAATCAGAGACAGTTCCAGAA